TGTTAATTTATTATTGTGACGTGACTTATACGATTTGAATTTGCAGTCAATACCCAGATTTAAGATTAACACAGACAAAATATTTAAGATAAATCGTGAAGCTGCACGATCGAGTGGTCGGATATCGCCTACGTAATGTCAGACACGCCGTAATTCATTGTTCAATTTGTCATGGAACAATGCAGCATTTGAATTCAACAACCACGACTCCCAACCAGGCCTAATCACTCAGCCGAGCGCCGCGCGCAGCGCCCGCGGCAATCGCGGCCTACATTTACTAACAATTTCATATTTTCTGCTCTTATTATGACTTATTAACACAAAGTCCAGTTCAACAGTTACATATCTAAGGGATTTTCATTTGTTTGTACAAACCACATTATTAACACAGGCTATATAAATTTTCTTATCAGTCAAAATTATATTGAAATGTTATTTTTATATGACTAGTAGTAATAGTGACGAACATAGATAATAAGAGATGAAATACATTATAAAACAAGCAATTTTAAAACAAACAAAAACTAAAATCTCAATAAACTATCATAAATGAGCTGCAATACACGATGATAAGTGGTTTAATAATAATGATAGACTTCACTTTGTCAATATTTATTGCTGTTGACTACGAACGAATGGTATATAGATCATCATTACGCGATTTCTTGTGCAGTACAAATGACGCTAGACGATATCTCGCAGAAAAAGTACACGAGTTTTGTCGTCATTATTTGAGGATGAGCACAATCATATTAATGCGCTTATAATGACTGCACTATTCGCTTTTTATTCTTAGAAAAACTTTTATTTGTAAATAAATAATAGTTTTTTTTTAAAGGACATTATTTTTAACAATATTATCTTGGTAAACACATTCGAGAACAATTGGAAATTGACAGTGCTCGGTACATGTGTACACAAATTTAAATAAAAATATGAGCATTATTTATACAACAATAAACATTAACTTTTATTTTGTGTGATTCCATTAACCCCGTGTTAATGTTTAAGACAGAATTTTTCGATTCGTACAATATTGAGTGCGTCGTCAATGTGCCGTTCGATGCAACCCGGCAGTGCAGCGCGATAGTGATGCGACTGCTCACGTAAAAATATCGATAAATAACTCAACTAACAAACTCTACAAACGTACGTGTAATATTGTCGGCACTTTGTTGAATCGGTGCAGAGAAATATATGACTAGTCGTAGTTGTAGTCATTCATTTTTCAAAGAATTGTTTGCGTGTGTGCAGGCAGGGCGGGGTACACATAAATCTCGCGAGGCGATTGAATGCAGACGCGTAAGCGTGCCCGTGCGCATAATTCAAAGGGGCGATCACCAGGAATCGTCGTTTGGCATGCAGACGGCCGCGTTCATTCCAAAGTAATAAACCCGTTAGCGGCGACGTAATATGCATATCGGAGACCACTAAACAACACATTTCAAGCGCTGAAACATGCATAAATATGTTTAAGAATTTACACATGCGGACTCGATGCGTCGTGCTAAATTCAAATGCTATAAGATGCGCTTCTCAATTCGCATAACGACCGCATGTAACTCGTCGGCTGGTACTAAATGGGCGTTTATTATGTGTCCGAACTACCAATATTCCCGGTAGCATTTATTGGAATATATTCTCTATTACAATTACTTAAAGTTAGCTTATCGATATCGATGTATTCGTTCGAGGGTCGTCACCAGCCCGCAGGTGCATTGTGGTCTGATAGGCGGTTCCTGGCGAATGATCGGCGCGGCGCCGTATTGCCTCGGCGCGGCGGCCAGACCCGGCTCTTTAATATTTATTTACACATGCAAATGCGTTTCGCCCGTCCGAAACTGCGACCGATGCGACTCCGAATTGACTATAAAATATCCTGAATCGAAAATTAGTTTCTTATACGTATGCAATGTGTTGCAGGCGGACGAACAATTCAAGCATATCAAAATTTTCATGCTTATGTATTTTATTCAATCATTTCTTCAGGCCATATTTCTTTGGCCGCACCTAACGATAACGTATTCAGGTCCGGGTACCTTTCGTATAAGACGCACATTACCATATTGGCTGGAATACAAGATGTTTTTGTTTGAATTGAAATTTAAAAAAATAACATAACATCCGCTTTTCGTCGTACACTCGTTTAAGTGGATACTGTGAGTGAGAGAGTACGGACTTGCTTCTGTTCTTCAAACACATAGCTTCAACCCAACAAGGATCGCAACCCCAATGGGTTAGTCAAGTCAACACTTAACTCTAGCTTGTTTGACTCTCGTATACTTGTATTAAAATTAAAATAAATACATTTTGCCGACAAAGTACGAACTTTTAATTATTCCTTTTTTCAAGGCAATTACTATAGTAGCCATCACAAGTGGTTTGTAGTGATTATAAACGTATTGTGCATGTACTCGTAGATAAGTAATTGATACGGCCGATAGGGACGCTCTAGTCCAACAGCGGATGTTTTCCAGACAGACTGATATGTTATTCAGTTAAGTGGATATTAAACGCGAACTGTTAGGTGCTAACCGCTAATCGTTACGTACGTTCAGTCAATTGGACTATATTTATCGACGTATTCTGCGAAATAGTTTCGATGTGATGAAGTGGTGTTTGAAGTATTGATTGAAACGAATCCCGGTCAAGTGTGCAGACGAGTTTTGAAAATCGCGACGTATAAAGAGGTCGTTTTGAACTACTAAAAGTGTACATCCAATTAAATAACTCTGCAACTATTAAAAAAAAAACTATATAAATTATAACGATTTTTTTACCTTCGAAAAGAGATACAACTCTATACTATAACTGTACGGGTGTTACCGCTGAACTTTTTTTAAGTAAACCGATAATCTTACTAATATTATAAATGCGAAAGTCTAGATAAATGTTTGTAAGAATTTGTAGACTGAACTGCTGAACGGATCTCGGTGAAATTTAGGATAGATGTGGAAAATAGTCTGGTCTCTTATAGTTTGGAAGAACACACACTGCTACTTAGTTTTTTTAATCCCACGCGGACGAGGTCGCGGGCAAATCCTAGTATGAAGAGTAAAATAACATTTACGACAGGTCATCAATGTAAAATTGTAGCGTAAGATTGCATTTAATGAAACAACTGGATCAAATTTTTAACCATCTATAGTGTGGAACAATGGTTTATCCGTTTACTTTAGAGAATACAGTAAACGTAAATAATAATCGCTACTGAGTTCACTGGACGATAACCAATCAAGCACTAGTAATATAACAAATAAGTATTAATTTGTATTTGTGCGATTGTGTGTGCTTTACTTGAAACAAAAGAACGACATACCCCAACATTTGTTTCAGCTCCTACCATTGTAAAAGTAGTGGTAGTTCATTTAGATATACTACTTGCTTTACTTATTATCTCCTTAGAATTGATCACTAGATCTTTTATAAATATACGCATAACAATCTTTTATTATATTTTAAAAATAAAAGCATATATTACCTTATCTAGGTAATTACCACGATTTTACATTGTGTTTTTAAGACATAAGGTGTACCAAAAATAGTACGACAGAATCGTCAAGTAATATGGTAAAACATTAATAAATGTTTGTATTATTATTATTATAGGTTATTATTTATTTTATAATAGTTAATATTTTATAACAAATATGAAATAAAGTTTAGAATAATAAATAAGTATACCAAAACTATGTAGACGTTCAATATTTTTTGGTTTATGATAACATAATAATGCAATAGGAATTTTGTATAAATTATTTTAATACGTTTAATATTTTTAAATTGGACTATGAAATAGTAATTTTAAAATTCAATTAAAATTCCTAACGAACTCAACCGTATTGTTAAAAATACTTGGTACGAGTTATTTTATGTATTTAATAAATTGTCTATGATGGTTTATTTTTTTTGTAACTAAGCATCCATTTATCTTGCTAATTGGTTAATTGGCAATTAATTAAATCTTTTTACACTTAATGAGTACGTTGTTAATGTTTCTTAAATAATAATTAAAAAATATATGAGATTTTTGAGATTAACGCATTTGAGATTTATTTACGTATGTTGTTCAAGACCACGTTTGACTAGGGTGACTAGAAATTATAAGTTATTTCTACTACACCAATATTATCATATAATCTAAAATCGGCCCAGTAATTTTTACTTGAATCGAAGACATACAAAATACACAAATGCAAATCTTTCCTCTTTTCAACATTAGTATAGAGAATATTATTCAATATCCGAAAATAGGACAATATTATGGGAACGTGTTGAGAGCTAATATTTTAACACTTAGATATTGTTCTTGAAATTGAAAGTCTTTAAACTGCAAATTATTAAATTTAAATCTTAGTATCAATCGAATGTAGCTACACAAAAAAACCCTCTGATATAATATAAAATACTGCTAAGGAACAAATTAAGTTGAATTTGATATTTTTTGAATTTCAGTATGCCTATAACATATTTTCGTGATATATTTAATAAACTTTAAACTAAAGTAATGAAAAAAAATAAATAAATATAGGAGATTTCTAAAGTTGTATGCAATTAAATTTGGCTGATATTTTCTTAATTGCCATGTAAACAAGTACCGATTTATGCAAGTTGTAACATTTGTTTGGTTCATGATAACGTGTTCATTAACCGTCACGTTATCTCGAGTGCGTTATTACTCAAATTACGACCATTTACAGCTCGTTTCTCATGTCTTTGATTATTTCAAGTGTGATATCTATGATTTATTTGTTGATTGTGTTCAATAAACTATCACTTATTATATTTGTTAACATTTACATAAAATTTTAAACTCATAAAAGTAAATTTATTGGACCTAATATGTTAAATATAAGAATGCACAACAAATAACAAAGAAAAATAAATTAAAAGAATTTTCTAATATTTTCTTGTAATTATTTTCCACAAAAGAAACTAAATGTTTATTTGTTAGTTTATTGTAAAAGTTAATAAATAAATGTATGGTGTTGTGTACTGACCTGCCGCCGGGCGGAGGACGAGGGGCAGCACGAGGAGCGGCAGTAGCGGCAGCCGCATGCTCGCGCTAGCGTCGCATGTCGGCGCGGGCGCTGTGCGCTCGCCGCCCGCCGCCGCGGCACTGTGCCGGAGCCGGCCGCGGGCCGCGCGCCGCGGCACGTGCGCGCCCCGCCTGCAACAGGTGACTGCACAGCCGCGTGTCCGCGTCGCACTCGCACTCGCCTTCGCCCGCGCGGTACCGCCCCTCACCATCGGTCCTGCCCCACCGGAGCGCTGGCGCGGACTGAGCCGAGCCCGAGCACCGCACCAAGCGCGCCCACACTGCAAGCGGCGGAGTGGCGGTGGCGGATGGCGCTGCAGCGCGTGGTGGTCGCCGCACGCCGCACGCCGCACGCCGCCGCGCCGCACCTCGCCGTGTCGACGACCGCGCCACGCGCCTCCCGCGGCCTTCCGCCTCCGCGGAATGCAACGCGCCCTACTCATCGCGCACCTCAACGGATGCCCAACACTTCTGCACCTTATACTTATTCTAACATCTAATAACAACACAATGATTATATTAAATACTTTCATTTCATTGAAATAATTTTAAAATTTAGCCATTTTAAAATTGACTTACAAGCATTAAATTAACCTCATTAACTGAGCTCGAAATCATTGCCATTGGATCAATGAACTTTGCGTCAGTTAAGCGTTGAAGTCTTTTCAAGGGCGCTTATTATACGACAAAAAAGCTCGGTAACCGCTTCGGAAAAAAGAGATCGTCGTTAAGCAAATCCGATAAAGTTAAGTCGGATCGAATGTTATATGCGGTTTGATACTGTCATCAACTTTTGCAATATAGAGTTGTATGTGCCTTTAAAATGGAAAGGAAAATAATCAAAAGGAAATCATCGTTTTACCAGTGACTAACGATTTTAAAATCGCGAGATGTCTGCCGAGCAATTATTAGCAGCAATGATGGCGAGTCCGCCTTGATTACAGCCCCGAGCACATGTAACATGCGCCCGAGGTTCACATGCCGGCAGGAAGCAGATAGTTTTATTGTGTCCCTGAGTAATAAATGTTAAATGCTAACTTAATAAACCAATAAAAGTCGTTACACTCTCACTTTATTCTAACTCCTTAATTGCCTAACATTCATGCACAGACAAAATTACCTTGAAATGGAAAATTCGCATTTATTTTGTTGCATTTTTACGTGGATGAAATATGTTTCAAATTCAAACACTAAGATTTTTTTTCAATGTTAATGTACCCATTTAAATTCACTGCATTAGTATTATTTACATTTTTATCCTTAAAAAAATGTCCTCAACGTCTTATCGAGTCCTTTAAAGTATGAGTTAACGCTCCCTTGTAAATGTTTAAAATATCAATAAATAAAACAACTTACTCGTACATACGAGTACGATATGACAAAATGTTTTTGTATATCCTTAATAACTTTGGTAAAATAAGAAAAAATCTTGGATAACCATATTTTAATATTTAGATAGAATTTAAATTTGCACACAACATTGCATTCAATAATCGGAAAGCAATTGTAAACACTTCTTGAGATTTAAGAATAACAAGAAATTATTAGTCACAATTAGCAGTGGTAGAGCCTGCAATAGCATCTTTTTCACGTATAACGCTAAAACACGCGGTGCAATACCACAACCGTACAGAAGACAGCCGTGAAGTAAAAGAAATTCCGCGTTTCACCTGATCAGTGTGCGAGTAGGAAACCCAGTTTTAGTATTCTTATGAGGAAAGAATGGGAAGTGGATATGGCGTAAGAAAGAATGTATGAATATATATAGAAGGAGAATGTCCTCTGTTCTGTTTAGGCAACGCATCTGCAATTATAGATGTCTAATAGGCAACAGTCGCTTCTCTATATCGGCGAATTCAAGTGATCACTTACTCATTTGCCACATTCTATTTAAAATAAGATACGTGTGAAGCCGCGGACAATAGCAAGTATTTTCATCAATTTATTTTGCGGTTTCACATTTTCTGAATATTTATTTTTAAAAGCAACGTGTTGCGTAGCGTTCGCATGTCTTTTGTCTCCTTGGCACAACTCCAACATTCGACTGCAATTTGTCGGTTGATCAAGAGGCTTACTACAATAACAATTTACTATTTAAATCAATAACATGCAAATAGCGCAACGAGACTTGAATTTATTATCCTTTGAAATATCCTAAAATAATCAAATTACACCTCATTCTCGATCACTAACATCGATCAACAAAACAACAAGTCATAGTGGTCATCCAATTCAATTTTTTTTTTTAGTTTACAATGTACTTGCTTTCGCTCGCGACTCTGTCCGCGTGGAATGAAAACAAAAACAAATGTGACTAGCCTATGTGTTCTTCCAGGCTAGCCTTTACATCTTTACTAAATTTTCTCAAAATCCGTTCAGCCGTTTAGGCTACAAATTCTAACTAAAATCCACCCATCTAAACTTTTGCATTCAGAATATCAGTATGAAGTATGTTCTAAATAGTGCGAATTTTTAAACAATACTTTTACATTCCACATTAAAAAGGTTACATTATTTTCCTACTCCATTTACAACTGATAAAAAATCGTCTTCATGAACATTAGCAGACTTAATTTAGTGTTACGGTTACAGCGGAATCGTCTACGTGGATTTAATGTCTGTCAGTACAATATCGTCTTTGCAATAGATATCAAATCAACTCTATTCATACTCATAAGTGCTCTTTTGGTTATTTTTTGTCAAGTATATCCGTAACATTAGACTCAATAGAATATGTAAAATAATTTTAAATAGCAATTATTTGAGATTTGAACAATTATCTTAATATTTAATGAAAAAAAATCTAGTAAACTTCATTAGATTTTAATAACTAAATGATTGTATGATTTCTTAAAAGCTTCACACGAAAACTTATTTTATACCTCAACAAAGATATTACAAATCGACCAAAACAATGATATCCAAATCATTAATTACTGTCAAATTAAATCATTTGAAAAACCTCTATCGTGATCCTTGTGTCCTTATTCTTGTAAAAGTCATTTTTTATCTATGGTCGGGAAAAAATAACAAAAGACATTCGCGACGGAAAATATGCAACTGTCTGCAACACACAGACAGGTAATAAATAAAGCAAACATCTCTCAATTAATTACCGGCAGACAACGGAAAAGGAAAAACTAAAAACTAAATTAAAACGTCCCAAAAAACCAAAAACATGTGAGCTTCGAGATTTAGTGACAAACATAATTTTGTTATGTTATAAAATAAAGTACAAAAAATGTATGACTACTCAAAAATCTGTCATTGTATTATTATAAATGACTACATGAAAAACCATACCAAAAAGCAAGCTCAAAGCAAACTTAAAATTGATCAGTCAGCTATATGAAAGATTAGTTACTGGCAAACAACAAAGTTTTGAATAATTTTATTTACCCAGACGGTTTTAAAAGTGTTTTATTTACCCATCTATTAAAATGGTAATTGAATGTTTGTTGTGAATGTAAAATGTCAGCAAATTTTATTTAAGGATCGGTACAACGAATATTTTTAATGGTCTAACGGCTGCCACGAGATGTCCTAATTGTGACTTTCATTCTGACACGAAAAGTCACGTATTTCTTTAAAATATATACACAACTATCAAACCATACACCATTAGTCAAAAGACAGCATGTTTACAACAGCATACTCATATCGAGTATGGAATAATATAAATTGCAGTACAAACAGGTATATGCATGAAAAGAAAGTCATCATCATAATTCCCCTGGCTTTATCCCATTCACAAGGATCGACGCTAAGGTTTTAGAAACTGTAATGTTTTGCCTCAATTTTCATGACCGTCCATATGTCGCCAACCCTACCTGGTAGATAAATTAGTATTTTTCTTAAATATTTTTGAAAGTACATAAGATATTGCAAGCAACCACATAATAATGCGTAAGACTATATTCAGATCCCTATAAAAGTTGCAGTTACAGCTGTAAACTTCGGACGCCCCTGTCGACAGTTGGAAATTGCTTTTTGAATGGTGTTTACCGTTCTCCGTGACAGTAATTGACACCCGCAAGTACCTTCTTAAATCTGAAGGCTTACGGTCGGGACACTCGCTCCGTAAGTCCACATAAAATCTTGCAAAGCGAGTCCCTCATGTATAATTATATTCCCAACATTATCCTGTTTCATAAGTACACCCGTAAATGCATTAACTTTAAAATATTAAAGATATAAGACGAAGATATAAGATGTAAAATATAAGTTCTTGTAGAAAATATATTTTACATCAATTTTGAATAATTTTTGATGTACACTCGAGGAAACTCAAAAAATAGCTAAATCTACAAGAGCAATAATCTAATACCGATTTAAGATCGGAAACCAAACCACTTAGCTACAAGCTTTAGCTTAGATATGAAAAGTATTTACTATAAACTGCGCTTAATCGTTATGCGGCTGGATATAAAATCAGAGAAGCTAAATCTAATACACTAAATCCTTGCATTGTCTATGCAATACGAGCTTGATATTAAATTCCATAGACGGGGCGACTAATTGTTTTCGAGTGTACGCAAATTAGTTTCCGTCAGGCGCAGCGTCGGCGCGCGGCCGGCGTCGCACCGTTCACCATTAACTAACCACTCGACTTCTCCACTCGACCACTAGATAGTCGACCATTAACAAATTCCTAGGCGAGACTTGAACAGTACAAATATGCGGCCGCCTGCGATGCCAAGAATTTGGTCGATTCGACAACTTTAAGCTGCACTCGCTCACCTCGCCGGCGAAGGATATTTCTGAAACGCGCCTTAAGTGCAACAATACCACTCTTGTCGGTGGTACCGTTAATTTTGTATATTTACACACAAACTAAACTGTACGCCTTTTAACTGAGATAACGCAGAACATTGTTAAGAGTATAAACTAGTATAGTAACATTGGTAAGGGAAGAGATAAAACTAAAAAAGAATAATTATTTATCAATATCTAAAATCTCTAATTTTTATCTATTGCAATATTATTTACATTTTGTATAAGAATTTCAAATACAAAATTAATTTTAGATTACCAATAGCAATGCTTTAAAATTTTTCATATAATTTGGTTTTTCCTATGTTATATTCAAACGCCAGAAGAAATTTTCAAGAAGGAATTCCCCACAAAATGAATATAGTCTGCGAAAATATTTATGTTTAGTGAGCAGATGTTCTACTTACTTATAAACACAAACTGACGGTTTTATTCGTAAAACGTCTGCAACTAGGCTAAATCTTTATTTGCATTCCTCCAATTTCTTTTCAAGCTTATCGAGACAACATTATTTTAATTGAATTTCTAAAACAATAGACGGTAGGTAAGGTTATAGGTCCTCCTCTTCGGAGATCCTGGGACCCTCGAATCGCACGTGAGGGCGGCCATCGACGGAGTTTTTAGTGAGTAGAAATCTCACATATCTTACGAAGATTACCCCCTCCCCTCACCCCCCGATACCAAAAAAGGGCAGTCCTCAAATCTGGTATGACTGACACAGCTCTATAATGCTGTTGTTTGTGTCGAATGCATTTGAAAATTACGTTTTCGTAATTATCACTATCAAATTTAATTTAGCAAATTTAATATCTTGTTAGTTAAAAGTGTGCATATTAAATATATTTTGCAACAACCTGTGCTCGTAAATAAAACGGTTCGAATTTAAAGTAATTATTTCGGGGAATAATTTAAGGTCCCTAGGTATAATCACTGATGTAAATTACACAAATGCTAATTGACTGAATAAATTTCGATATCTAGTAACCGGACCTTTTAAATTATTTCGATGTTGATAAGTTGAACTAAAAGTCATAAAGACCTCGAAGGGGAAAAAATCTGTTGTGGTACTAGTAGAGAATAAGTCGAAAATTACAAATCTCCAATTAGAGATACCACATTCTAATTTTCGTACGAAAACGAGACTAAAGTACATCGGATGTCTTTATTTATTTAGAAAACCATTTTTTTGTTTTATTATTTTGTTGTTATTTTAATGTTTTGTTTTTTTTAAGGTTATAA